GTCGCCCGACAAATCCATCCTAAAATTAAAAGCCCGTCTCGTTGCAATGGGTTACTCTCAAGTTCGAGGGGTTGACTATCAAGAAGTTTTTGCTCCCACTCTTCGCCTTGAGACGCTCAGGCTTATCTGCAGCCTTCTTGCATCCAAGTCGTGGAAAGGTCGCCAAGTAGACTTCAAGACCGCCTTCCTCAATGGTCACCTTGACCAGCCCGTCTTCATGGAACAACCCCCTGGCTTTGAGGATCCCAATCATCCCGATTTTGTTTGTGAAGTTCGCCGCTCCATCTATGGTCTCAAGCAAGCTCCTCGTCAATGGAATCAAGAACTTCATCAGGCTCTTCTTGACTCTGGTCTCACACAATCTAAGTACGATCCCACTCTCTACTTTAAAGTTGTCGCTGGAAAGCTTCTTGGAGCAATAACGGTCCATGTCGATGATCTTGCCGTTGTGGGGGAGGATTCCTTTGTCACCTCCATCATATCAAGTCTGGGTTCCAAATTCACGATTGGTGCCGATGAAGACCTGCACCATTTTCTCTCGATTAAGATCACTCGGGACCATGATAAAAAGCTTCTCTATATGTCACAAAGTCACTACATTGATGACATGGTCTCTCGTTTCCTCGACGGCACGCATACGGCTACCAGGACGCCAACTTCTTCGACTTTCAAAGATCTGGTTAAACGAACCACGGATGAAGACTCATCTCCCGGTCCATACAGCCAGCTCATTGGGTCACTCCTCTGGATAGCTCAGTGTACACGCCCTGACATTGCATTTGCCGTCAACAAACTCTCTCAATTTTTGCGTGACCCCTCGTCTTCGCACTGGTCCGCAGCTATCAAGATTCTCAACTACCTGGCCTCCACCAAATCTCTTCGTCTACGCCTTGGAGGTTCCCTCACTTGCGCAGGCTACTCTGATGCGGATTGGGCTGAAGATCGTCAAGACCGGAGATCAACCTCAGCCTACACCTACCGATTCGGTGATGGGGCGATATCTTGGAAGTCCCGCAAGCAAGCCACCGTTTCCCTGTCCAGCACTGAAGCAGAGTACAAGGCTCTTGCGGATTCTTGCAAGGAAGGTCTGTGGCTACGTAATATTCTCACAGAATTGTCCATTCGACCCAGGTCGGCTCTCCCTCTTCATGTCGACAACAAAGGTGCAGAGGCCCTTGCGAACAATCCAGAACATCACTCCAGGACTAAACACATTGACACACGATATCACTTTGTTCGAGACTGCGTTAAGGACAGCATATTCCAAATAGTCCATGTCTCCACACATGACATGCTGGCCGATATGCTCACTAAACCTCTTCCGCGTGTGCTGCTGGAGAAACACCGTCTTATGTTTGGTCTGGTCTAATTGTTCCTTTTTTTCTTTCTCTTTCCTCTCGTCTCTCATTCTCTCTTTCGATTTCTTCTCTTTGTCATTGAAATCAGTCATCAGCAAGGGGGGGTGTTGAGATTCCTGTGACATGTCATTATCCATCTCATGTTCATGTTCGTTAGTGTGCTTTATTCAGATTTCACTTTCTCCATGTCACACTCTGTGACACTTAGTTGTTTTCTTTCAGCTCTTATACTGGAGTCATATGTGTTTGGGAGGATCTTCTTTTTCCTCATCCTTTCCAACTCATATGTCTCCAGGTATGTCTTCTCTTCTCATTTCTCATTTCTCTTTTCTCTTATGTTGAAATGAACTCATCATCCTTTCCAACTCATATGTCTCCAGTCTGAGGGTGTTCATTCCAACAGAAGAAAATGTCAAGAAAACTGTTGAGTTTGACAGGACACATTACTCACAGTGTCTATAAGACTTTTAGCAAAGATCGATCATCATAACATCTATGATTGTGTCCAATTGCCAATCCGGGGTTACATATCGGTCTGATATAAGACTTACAAGGCTTGTGAGTGCTGTTTAAATGCTGCAAAGCCGAGTTCAATCAGGCAAATCAGACCATGAGGAAAACATATTAGCTCTCTTTGTATGGCCCAACGACCGATGGGAAATTGAAATACCAACTTTTGGATGGCCAAAAACCGGAGTCCTTCAAGCGCCATTACATAGGATCGAGCGAGCCTTGGTGGATGCCGTGTAGGATTGAAAAATCATCTATTGATGTTCTGTATGGGATCGATGCCAGGATAATTGGTATTCGTGGTGGTGGTGGCCGGCTAGGATGCTGGTATCTGCTTGATCACAGCAAATTGAATCAAACCAGAGCTGTGTGGCAAAAACGAGCAGCCAAAACTGCTGCACAGCAGCATAACAACATAACTTTGGCGCTTGGAAAACCTCGGTTTGTCCAAGCTTTATTCAAACGACAATACTTCCCGGAATAGCTGTAAATAAATATTTATAGTTTATTTGTTTATGTAGAGGACAGAAAGAGGGTGTGGTTAATGGTGGTGTCCACCACTTTGGTTGCGGTGACAGGCTGTCAGGCGTGATGCGCGCTGCCCAAAACTGACAGTTTCCCAATCCATCACGAAGACGAGGTTGCTTGCTCGGTCCACTGGTACACATATAGACTGTAGGTTCTTTCTGGTCTGCTTGGGGAGGCATATATACCTGGCTCCTAACTCCTGCTCTCTTTCTCCCCAGTTTGGGTCTCGGGTCGTTGGGTCCATCATGCCGCCTGAAGAGGATTTACGACAAATCCAGGAAACAGAGCTTGAGGCTCTACGCGGTTCGTGCGCTTTCTCTCCTCTTCGCTTGGCCAAATTTTTCAGGGAGTCTGATGGGTGAAGGTCGTATCCACATCTTAGCAATCTTTTGTGAGGACTTCGAACAGATTCGCACCCGATCAGCTGCCAAGGTACCAGACCGGACCATGCCTTTCGATCAGCAATATGCCAATATACGTACACTGTTACTGACATGCTAATATTTCTACTGGTGCTACCTCGGTTTCCATTGGTTAGACTCTGGCTACTCCCTTTGAATTCAGACTCAAGATTCGTACTGAAGAAGTCGAACTCCAAGATCGTGTTAGGATTAATTTGCGTGTGAGGGGAGTTAATGTCAACTTTTCTTATATTACCAGTCACTGTAACTAATACTTACGCTGCTGTGGACCGGCTGGTGATGATATTTAATTTCCTGTAGGCTTCCTCGTCTATATCCCACGACTCGACCTACTTTGGTCCTTGAAGATGCCATTGGACTTTCTCCGACACATCTTTCGGAACTTCAAGAGCAACTGAGCGCCAAAACCAACCAGCTCATAGGCTCAGAGATGATGTACGAACTTGCGACCTTCGTAGCTGAGTTTATCACTGAACATAACATGGCCATCGCATCCCATCAACCGTCACTGATCGAGGAGAGGGTCACTCGAGCAACAGAAGCCGAACGCCAACAACGACTAGCCATTGAAGCCGAGAAAGCTCGTCAATTGACTCTCAAATCTTTTGAAGATCTGGAATTGGCACGCCAAATCCAAAAAGACATCGATCTCCGGCACGAACTTCTAAAGCGCGAGCGGGACAAAGCCAATACCAACACAGGCAACCACTATGATACCAAAGCACCGGCGGATGACATAGCCCGTCTACCATTCGGCAGCCTAATCGAAATCCCACTTCCAACAGGTCTATCATTGAAAATTCAAGTTGGCTTTGAAGTTATCGATGGATTACTTGGAAGTGTCTACAATTGTCAGATATCCAACGTCGGACCGGCTCAATTGACGATTGTCCAACCACATGGTCGCTATTACCGAAGCCCCGCCCCAGGCCAGAGGATGTTATCAAAAGTTGCTAGCGATCTAGATACCCTCCGTAATACGAGTGACCCGCATGTCCAATCGATTTATGGGTCTGAACTGGTAGAAAACAAGTTGACGATCGTTAGCGAATCCCTTCCTGGGAACTCGGTGCGTGATGTGTTGGATCAATGTGGTCCTTTTGAATTGGAGAAAGCATTGGAGTGTTTAGAGCAGATTTTGAGCGGATTAAGGGCTGTTCACCATGCGCATCTTGTCCACAGAGGTAATACATTCACTCGTTTTCTGTTTGTGGAGAATTATAGCGGCTTCCAGCTGAAATGAATTGTTTTTCTTGTGATCAGGAATCAAACCCGAAAACATTTTTTTCTGTTCTCCCAAAGATCGAACCAAGAAACTAATTTTCAAGCTTGCGAATGTGTCGTGGTTTCAAAGACTTTGGGATTTGTGCAAATCCAACCCATTTTGTGAACTTCCACACGAGTCTCAACGACCAGATTTATGGTGAATCACTCATTTTTTCAGTAACCTGAATGTTCTGAAAGTCTTGATGTATTTCGATTTTCTCTCTTTTTTGCTGTCTCGCGTTCTCTATGGACGGCCATCTCAAGGGTTCATCCTAGTAAGTTGACGGATGTCCCTCTGAATGTGGCCGGGCAATATTCTAATCTGGCATTTTGGACGCGCACACCTCTCCACAGATACACTTCGAGATCCCTTGGCTTATGATAGAGAACGTGACCTGTTTGATCTGGGGGTAACTTTTGCTCAGATCCTATTCGGTGAACTTTGGCCCAAGTGGGAGTCTCCAAGCGCTTTCATTCAAAGCTGTGAGTAAATTGATCGTTTGGGGCGATTTCGAGCAGGATGGAAAAAAGATTAACTTTTGGCCACCTATATTGATGGATCAGTGCCTGCCGATTATCCGTCAATCTTTCGAGAGCTGCTGGGAAGTTTACTCCTCGGCAGCAAGAGAAACAATACCCAGCAGCTGCTAGACAAATTGTCGAACTTCAGAAGAATGACAAAGCAAAGTATGCAATCAATTTCAACCTTGCAAATGATACAGCCTGATAAGATGAACACTCTGTTTTCCCAGTTTCCTCAGCTCCAGCACGCCCTTTACCCCATGTCGAGAATTGGGAAAAAGCTAATCCAGTCGTACCACATGGAGTGTTTTGGCAACCTCAGGGGACAACATACTCTCGGTACAGAAATGACTTCGAAGAAGTCGAGTTTCTAGGTGTGCTGCCAGTAGACGAACATATGCCAGAATACCACTGATCATGATTGTGATTAACAACCTTGCAGGGAAGGGTGGTTTCGGTGAAGTTTTAAAGGCTCGAAATAAGCTTGACAATAGATTCTATGCTGTAAGTCGTTCCCTTGACCTTTTCAAGTTGTCTTTTGTAATGTGCAATATCAAATCTAAATTGCAATTAAAAATTTGATCTCCCACATCAATTGGTTTGCTTTGGGCAACTTTGAATCAACATCAGATCAAGAAGATTCCTCTCCCCGTTAATCCTCGAGAAGAGACCAAAATTCTTAGGGAAGTGACTATTCTTTCCAGGTTGGTCCCACTTTTGATGATTGTGAAATACATTGTGATTTCTCATCGACATCTTATCCTTTTGAGGGTGTCAATCCAACTAGGATGTCTCACCCACACATTGTGAGGTATCATGCATGTTGGATTGAGGCAACCACTATGCCCCCGAGCTCTGGCCATTCAGAATTGAGTCAAGTCAGCAGCGGGATGCAATCCTCTCAACCACAAACTGTTCGACGTCACCCCTATTCCCGCTCAAATTCAGATAGCGACAGTGAGAGCAACGGCTCTCACTCTTCTGACACCAATTTTAGTGCAGATGGTGGCGACAATAACACGATTCATGAATTCGAACTTGGATTAGATGACATGGATTTCTTGTCCATCCATCATGACAATTCGATGCCAAGCATCCGGTTTGGAGATTCTAGTCAATCCCAGTCAATGCGCATGACAAAACCTACAAGTCGAACAAACAGTGATGATGCTATGCCCTCTTTTGATGGTACCAAAGATTCTTCCGAAGACGACAAACTTTTGCTAAGAAGGATGCGTGAGTAATTGCTCATGATCGCATCAAGCCCTTCAAATTCTTAGTCACTGACATTTCTCATATAGTTTTCATGCGTACGTGTCTTACATGATTGATCAAGTCTTCGCACTTACTGATGTTGTTCACTTGACCTAGAGATGGAATTTGTTGATAGGTAAGCAAACCTATTCTTCCATCTTGTTAATAATTGCAATCATTGCTGAAGTGCTGTTGTCCAAAGTCTCACGCTACGAGAAGTCAGTACTTTATTTCACGCGCCCATCCCGAGTCAAACAGGCATTAATCACATGACAGAATGTTTGATCCACTTTCCAGGCAATAGATCAAGGTATCGAAAGTGATCGGCAAATCTGGAGAATTTCGCGCCAGATTCTTTCTGGTATGGCGTATTATACATCCCTCAACGTAATTCACCGCGATTTGAAGCCCAGCAATATCTTTTTGGATATTCAGGTACGGAAATTATGTCTAACTCTCAGTTCTTGTGACGAAGCTAAATGCAATTTGAATAACGTAGGGTGAAGTACGGATAGGCGATTTCGGTATGTGCTCATTCAGGAAATTCTCGACGAAGATTTATTGATGAAGGCCTTTTTCAGGTTTGGCTGTGAATCAAAATGGGCCTGAGGTAGAAGGGTCGTCTGGTTCAATACCTATGAGTGCGGAACTTACCTCAGGCGTTGGCACGGCGCTTTACATCGCTCCCGAAACTGTTGAGGCTCGACACCTACGGGCCAAGCATCTGGAAAAGATAGATATCTACAGCTTTGGTGATTCAGCGCCTATTCTGTCCGCACGTGTTATCGTTTTCTTTCGCACATCTGATTTTACTGCTTTTTCGTTGAACCCTCAGGGATTGTTTTGTTCGAAATGTTTCACAAGATGAACACTGCTCACGAGCGCATTCAGATTATCAAGGATTTGAGGAGTGCAGAAATCAAGTTTCCCTTTAACTGGGAAGACGAGCCGGATGGAGTCAAGACTAGGTTGGTGGATGGATCTGTTTATCAGAGATATAGTTCTGACCTGATGTGTTTTCTCTTTTCCAACCTCGTCGCAAGAATCATTAAATGGTGCCTTAATCATACGGCAGAACTCAGGCCATCTCCCACTGAACTGTTAAAAAGCAACTTGTTTCCACCCCAGCCCGAAGATGAAAACATCGAAGAAATTACCCGACTCATCTCTCGACCAGATCATGCCATGTTTCGACCCTACCTCGCGTCCTTGTTCGATCAACCTCTGCCTGATCGCATGTTCGTCCATAAAGCACGCCGGACATGATCCCATAATGAAAACTAACACCATCTTATCCCTGACTCTTCATCTCACCAGCCGTCGGGATTTCACTTATGATTTTCATACGGCCGACACGTCTCAAAAGATTTTAGACAACCCGTTCCGGACGTTGATCTGCGATCATTTAACTGAAAAATTCTGCCTGCGGGGCGCTGTCAATGTTGAAAGTCCCGTATTAGTGCCTTATACTGATATCGATAATCCTTCTTTGGTCAAACTCCTGGACTCCGAAGGTACCGTCGTAACATTGCACTTTGACGCCACAATACCCTTTGCTAGGACTGTGGCGAGGGACGAGTCTCTCATCAGATTGAAAAGGTCAGACGTTTCTCCCTGCCCCACAATCAGTAAGACTTTGGTTTGGTTGGCGTCAGGAGACGTGCAGCTGTTACAATCCAGCAGCTCAGGGTAAAGAATGAACTAGGCCTGATGCAATTAGGATTTCCCTGCAAAATCCCTTTTCGAACGATCAATTCTGACCCACAAGGTAATATTTCTGCAGGTTCAGCTTGTCTCCAATGTATCGTCAAAACCCGGCTGGAGGCCAGCCGATCACAATACCAGTCTCAAGCTTCGATATCGTTTCTCCCACTCGGACTTTAGCAGCTGAATCAGAGTTAGCAACGATCCTTCATCTGATATTCCGGGGCAGATATACTTACTAAACTTGTGAATATTGTTAGAGTCCTCCAGCTTACCGGTCAGTTATACTACCCTTCCCTAAGACATCTTTGCAAAACACCAGCAGCAGGGGCCGTCATGCTATCCATTTTTTGAGTTATCTCAGTCTCTCACAGATAATTCTCGATCTAGACGATGCCCTTCGTTCGCTTCCACTAGGTGAATCGTTTGAGCATGTTTTAAGCCACAACAAGCTATGGGATGCCATCTTCTCAGATATACCTGCACATCAACGCACGCCATTGGCAAAAATGATTGGGAATTACAACGCGACGAGCTCGCCGAGTTGGTCTGAGTTATCAACTGAGTTAGCTGATAGTAGCGGGATATCTAAAAGGACTCTAGAAAATATTAAGAAGACCTTTGATATTCGTGGTAGGTTCCATCAACTCTATCAGACTATCTTCATATCACACTTCACGAATGATTTGGTTCTCCTTCGTTTGAAACTAGGCACCATCGAAGTAGGTCACCTCTTGACGACGTCGCGGGTGGCTAGAGAAGACTAAATGATAGTGTTACTTTTTCCAGGTAGTCAAAGCCCATCTCCTTGGTTCTTGCTCTCCGACCTACAATAATTTCAACGTTCAAGAAGCGATTGATGACTTGGAATTAGTAATCAAGTATGCTAAATTACTTGGTATGCAAGGCGCCGTTGTCATCTGGCCTATGCTGGTCCCTCAACACAGGGACAATTCGAACGGCGTCTTCTTTAATACCTGTGATACTCGGAAAGGAAAAGTGTTGGCAGCTGGTGGAAGGTGAGCATCCTGTTACCTTGTCTTTTCCTGATCTAATATGAAGAAGGCTTTGCCCCCCCCCCCCCCCCTACTAGATTCGACGGTCTTGTCCAGAAGTTGATTGCACCTGGACTCGGGCAATCTCAATTGAGAAGCCATTTGGTGAGCGTGAGCTTGCATGTTTCGCGTCTTAGTCTTGCAGTTGCTCGACATGCACAGATGTCAAACGCTACCGCTTGGATGCCCCGGAGGTGCGATGTATACGTTATGTCCTTCGCACCGGGTTTACTCAACCACAGGCTAGAAGTAACAAGAGAATTGTGGGCTGGTGGGATTAGTGCAGACCTGGTGGGTAATCGTCAAACTGAACACATCTCCCTAGCTTGTGCAGTGTCAAATTCACCTGAAATGACAACCAACGACTAATTTTATTGTTGATTTAGATGTACGATGGTGAGACCCAATGGTCGTCTCCTGAAGCGGCCCTTCAAAGCTGCCGGCGAGAAGGCATAATTTATGCTATCATTGTCAAAGCTCCTAATCCGTATAAGGACCAAGTTGTTAAGGTGAAAAGCCTATCTCAAAAAGCTGAACACGAAGGTTAGCCATTTGGATTTTTTCCTAGCTCGTTTTACCTCTCAAAACTGATTTGTTTGGACTGTGATTTGCAGTTCCTCTTCATGAATTATGCCCTTGGTTGGAAGATGCTTTACAAGAGCATGCGCGCTCTGAGCCAGGAAACGGTAGCTTGAAAGCCTTAAATGACAACCATGCCAGAAACAATCAGAAAGCAAAATGGAATGTAGCACACCCGAACCCTCTCATTGAGTCGCCATCCCCAGGGCGCGATTATTTCCTCATCTTACCCACAGACACTTCTAGAAAAACTAAGCACAAAGGTCGACAAGCAGTGTATGAGAGGGGTGAGTCTTACGTCCCAAACTTTGCAAGGATTGGCCGTTGACCTATAAATGTCATTTGTGCTCCACTTTTCCCAGCCTTTGAAGCGATAAGTGACAGAATAAAATCTTTACCCGATGTACCAACATGTAAGTGCTTGCTTAGTTGCGCCTGTTCATTGATGACACATGATGTTGCTATTCTAATGGACTGTATCTTTAAAGTTGTTCTGGATTTGGAGGATCCACCATTCAGTAAACTCTTTCAAGATCTTTCCTGGATTGAATCTGAAGAGGTCTATCGCAAACAAATCGTCGACCTAGTACCCACTTCAAGGAAAGCATACATATGGGAAATTCGACATTCAATTCTAAATTACTACTTCAAACATGATTCCACAAAAACTCTTTGGATCTTTAGTTTGAGGACAAACCAATGTCAACTTTTAATATTGCCGTAATTTCTCTTATCCTTGTCTTGTTATTCAATCCCGATTAACACCCCCCCCCCCCCTTCACTTTGGTAATTCATATTAATAGGACAATTTTTGCTAGTATTACATCTATTGACAATAGTCGACTGGTTGATTTCCGTCACCCACTTAAGCTTCAATCTCCTTCGTCCGTTTATATCTGTAGAAATCCTGATTCAAACCCTGATAAATTGCTCGTTACTTGGATAACTTCTGTCTGACTCCATCAAGGCTTTCTACATGCAGTTGTGGGAATGGCAATTTCCACTTGGGATGCCATCATTCAAGTTGGATTCACTGAAAAACTCAAAGAGATAGACTTTGCCTCATAGCTTGAATGTCTTTTGGGCAGTTTACTCTGATGTGAATTATGGATATCCACACTATTCTACCGATGTATTTCTTTGTACAAGTCAAGCAGCATTAGTATAGTGAATCACACATCAGATTTTGTTTTCTTGCAAAATGACACTGTTCAATGCCAATTTCCACCACTAGTGTAGTTTGGTTTGGTGTTTTGTTTTAAGGCAATGGAGGGCAATGACTTTGATGGTGATCATACGTTTCTCGAGATACCCATCAAACTATGGGTTTGTTTATCCACACCGCCAGGTCAGATAAACCAGATCTTCCTGGAAGCAACCCGATACCCAAATGAAGCATTTGTTAAAAGTGCCAAGCAAAGATGACTCGAATGAATCAAGTACTCAGAACCTGCCCAGGGTGACTCTGTGTTTGAAGCCTTACATGATGGCCGTTTTAGACCACTTGATGAAGAAATACATTGATTTTTTATTTTCAATACGATTAGGTGGATGGATGACATGAAATTGAATATATTAAGTGCGGCGGTGTAGCCGCCACTTTACCCAGAAAATTAAAGAATTTGAAACTTCAGCAGCATACTTATGAAGTGGATAGTGCAACTATTTATCCGCAATTGAAGTCAGTTGCACAACATCTCCCCTTTACTTGCCCGAATTAATTATGAACCACCTTTTTTTGGCGATTTGACCCCAAACGATTCTTGAGACTTGAGACTGAGTGAGGACTCAAGCCATCGGGACAATGTTTGAGATCATCAGAAGCCCGTCGCTTCTGAATGGCTGGCCTTCGGGGTCATATGATTCGATGACAATAGGGATCAGACCAGTTTCCAAACGAGCTTCGTTGAATGGCCCGGTTGCTGTACCGGCTGGCGGGGATGATGGCGCCAGGACGTGGGTAGAGGGTCGCTGGGCCTGGCTTACTGGAGCAATGCTTAGACCAATTGTAGGAGCCTGCGTGGTTGAATCATTGTTCTGCGGAGGGCCTACTTGCATGGGTACATTGCTGTTCTGTGGATGACTTGTTTGACTGGGGAGATTGATAGTTGGCGGATGACCTAGTTCTTGGTCTGGATTGAGGTTTTCAGCGGTGGATTTGGTGCTGATGAGTTCCTGGGCATGCGGGCCAACGGGCATACCAAATACTGGGAAGCTATGGACTGGGCTAGCTTTGGTAGCATGGCCCTTGTGAGTGGAAGTTTGAGTTGTACTAGAATTGGATGGTGACTTGGTTGGATTTGAAGTTTCTGGTTCTGTGTCATCCGGGTCTTGAGGAAATCGGTTTGAAGGTTTAGAGACTCTATTTGAAGTTTCGAGAAGCTGACTGGGAGGCCGGCGGAGTTGGTTGGCCGTTTCGACTGCGTTTGGATTTGATAACAGATTTGATAACACCGCCTTTGAGGGCCTAGGGGGTGGACTCGTGCCCTGCGCAGCATTAGTGGAAGCTGGTATGGAGGAAGGATTTGAGGGTGCTACTGGTATAGTCTGCGTGAATGTTGCAGCTGGTGTTGACGTGCCTAATGGATCAATAGTGATGCTTGGGGGTGGAATGGACATGCTTAAAGTTACAATTGGTAAAGCTATAGGCAGCACTGGCATACCTATGGACTGTGTGGATTCACTGGCAAGTTGTGTTGTTTGGAAAGGTGCCGATACTTGTGGGAAAGGGTCCTGAATGATTTGAGGTGGGTTTTGTGATGTCTGGAAGGAAGATCCTGATTCTCCTTGCCCAATATCGGGCAATGAGTGACTTCTTTGCGTGATAGTATGTGGTGTGCCGCTGTAGACGGCAGTTCTTGAGATCCCATCAGATGTAACTTCAGAGCCTGAAGAAACCCCGAATGATGAGGAAGAGCTCTGACTGTTTGTAGATCTGCTGAAAGGAAAACAAGTTTACTCGGGTGAGTAAAGAAACGCATTCTTCCGTCAAAGAATTAGCGATGATCGAATCAATTAGGAGAAAAGACTAACAATTGCCTTTTCTCAATCAAGCCGTTTAAATTAGCCGGGATAGCTCTTGCATTGGCGATAGCAACCATTCCAGCAATTAGGTGAGGAGTTGTAACCCACATGGAGAACACGTTGACAAACCAGAGATTTGAACGATGAGTTGCCTAAGTTTATCGCAGCCAGTTGAATTTTGAAGGTGGGTCTTGCTTCACGTCCTCAAGGATAAAATATTAGGTATTTGTAAAATAGATTTGAATTGTCTACTGATCGGTACAGAAGAGTAATGGAAAGAGGATCGCAGAGAGCAGGAACGGGATGGAAATAGAAAGTAGATGATTACAATGAGTAAACGACAACTAAAAGATGCTGAAAATTAGGTACCGGCCCACGCAAAACTAGGTGATTGTAAGTACGACCTTTTGGGAAGTTAAGGGAACTGCTGAGCGCAACACGATTGGTACAAGAAAACCGAATGTGGGCTGGCTGAAATGCGTCGAATAGAATGAGTTTATAGGCTCAGAGTTAGTCCTTGACTCAAGCAAGCAAGCTCCAATGTAACCTCTCAAGTCGTTGTCAATACCATGATGACGATATGATGATTGTTCTGGACATGTCCACCACCTCAATGCCACATAAAAACTACTAGGCCAGTCGAGTCCAGTGCCTTGGGGGTTCCAACGGGTTATTAACAACCGAGTGGTTCTTTTCACCTTGCTATCATATCATAGGCGGTTCCAACAATTAGCTGCAGTGGAGGCTTTCAACGCAACATTGAACTTTTTTGATTCCACGCATGTGTGACAACTCTTGCGCCGAGTACGGCATTGAGACCCGGACTGCCTTTTCGCTGATCAAGAAAAGATTGGCCGGCCCTAACTTAACCAAGTCCTACAATGGGAGAGGGGACCCTCCCTTCCGGCAAGCCATCAGATGAAACTGCCGGAGGGACTTAGTTGAGGTAGGGCCGGCCACGGAACGTATGGGCCACGCTACCACGCGCGCGTGGATTTCGACTGGCATTGTGGCCAATTTCCTAAGTACAAAATTCCACCGAATTTATAATATCTATGCACACCTTATCCACGCCGAAGTTGTCAGCCATATCCCCAATAGGTTTGGGATAAAATCAATGCCTTGGACGGTAGTGTAAATTCTTGAATTTGTGAGTTTATATGGAGCTCATCGTTGTTTGATGCCCCTTGCAAGTTACACCTTGTCTACATCAAATTCTAGACTTTTTTGAAGATATCACCACATGTACAATTGATCCTTGGATGAGGCAAAACGACACTGGTGCAAGACGATGGCTTACGTCTTTTCTCGACTCGAGAAAACTCGTTACTCGATCAACCCAAAACCCCCGTTGCTCTTCATCTCGACCGGCGTTCCTGGTCTTTGAAAATCAAGGAAACAGATCTTGGCAACGGCTGGGGTCAAGTTGAAAACTGAGCGATTATCCTTCGGCCTTAACCATTGATACCCGGAATTAAACTTATGGAATTGGTACTGTGCCGAAGAAATCGAAATTGCATTGCTTGACCAACGAGTGATAACAAGCGCCGAGTGCGTGATTTCTTGTTGGCCCTCGAAAATCAGAAGCCAAAGGACCAAAAGATGAACCGTTCCCTTGGTATCGACATACGGTAAACCTCGCGGTTGGCGTCCGAAGTTAGTTTCGAGGTCGGGCGGCATCCAAATCAAATCAACAGCATAGCGGCTACCGAACCCGGGAACGGCTTGATAGAATTGACTCGACTGAGCTAGTGCGCATAGTGCTGTAATAGACACCAAGCCTACGAGAGGGAACAACACCTAAGATAGCGAATGCGCTGTGAGTAACGCGAGCAGCGTGAGATGAGCGGACTAGGTGGATGCACACCTAAGATAGCGAATGCGCTGTGAGTAACGCGAGCAGCGTGAGATGAGCGGACTAGGTGGATGCACACCTGTGGACCGAGCGGAGATGTTTGAATGAGTTGATGGATTGAAAACAATAATGAGATGGTGAAAACAATGATGATGTGACACTATACTGACCTAAGATAGCGAATGCGCTGTGAGTAACGCGAGCAGCGTGAGATGAGCGGACTAGGTGGATGCACACCTATGAAATGAAATGAAGCAGATGAGAAATGAGAACAACATCATGAAGTGAGATAATGAGGAATACAAGGCATACCTGTGGACCGAGCGGAGATGTTTGAATGAGTTGATGGATTGAAAACAATAATGAGATGAATGGAAATTACAACGTGGAAACAGAGTTGAAATAACAGATTCTACATTAGGGTTTGTCGAGTCTCATCAACAGAGTTCAAACCTAAGTGAGCTTTTGGTCCGCAGCAGTGTCCATGAGAGGATGGCCAGAGCTGTGCCTCAATACCCCCCCTCTCTCATTGCCGTTGAATTTTGAGATTGGCGATGACTTCTAGATGTTTTTGCCTTCCAAGTGCTTTGGTGCACATGTCCGCTTTCATCTTCTGAGTGGGGATGTAGTTGATGTGAATGAGTCCAGTGTCGTGGACTTCGCGTAGCCAGTGATAGATTATGTCGATATGCTTAGATCTTTGTTGAAAGATTGGATTGGTGGCCAGGGCTATAGCACTTTGGTTGTCGACGAATACTTCGAATTTGCTGGTGAATTGGACCGCTAGACTGGTGAAGAGGTATTTCAGCCAGACTGATTCTTGAACACCCTCAAATAGGGCCCGATATTCAGCTTCTGTTGTGGATGTAGAGACAGTTTGCTGCTTTTTCGAGCGCCATGAGAGGAGGTTTCCGCCTAGGAGAGTGACGTAGCCAGAGTAAGAACGGCGATCATCTGTACAGTTTGCGAAATCAGCATCTGTGTACACCGAGACATCGTTGAGGTTGCCTGAACCATCAAGGCTGATGCCATGATGTTTTGTGCCTGCGAGGTAGCGGAGAAGATGCTGAACTGCTTTCCAGTGAAGTATGCCTGGTCGTATGTAGATGCTGAGATAGTTGGGAGACAGTAAACGAGATGTCCGCGACGCAGCGATACTGAGAGGTAGTTGAGGAGTCCCGAGTGCCTCTCGGTAGTTGATTTTGAGTTGAAGGGAATGGACTGGATGTCTGGTTCAGTCGGGCTTGAACTAGTCTAGTGTTGGGTAGCATGGGAGTCGACGTTGGCCTGCAGCCGTTCATGTCCGTAGTTGTCCAGAATAGATTGCGTGTAAGATTCCTGGTTGAGTAGAAGTGTGTGTTTTGATGTCCGAGTGAGCTTGATTCCAAGGATGTGTTGAGCCTCTCCAAGGTCTTCCATGCGGAATCTGGATGAAATAAGACTTTTGAATCGGTTGACGTCGTGGCTGATGATGATCATGTCGTCGACGTAGACATGAACAAAGCATTCCCATTGGGGAACGTTGGAGGTGAACAGACAAGGATCTGCCGGGGATGGAGAAAAGTTGATGGAGAGAAAGAATTCCTTCAGCTCGGCGTACCAAACTCGAGGTGCCTGCTTCAAGCCGTAGATGGCTTTGTGTAGTTTCAGACAGAATCCTTTCGGGACGTCGAGACCGGGAGGTGGACGAAGGTAAACAGACTCTTTGAGGTTGCCGTTAAGAAATGCGTTCTTGGCGTCCATCTGATGAATGCTGTACCCTCTAGCTAGACCGACAATGAGAGCAGCCCTGAGGCTTGTTGAACGGCCTGTGGGAGCGTACGTGAAACCAAACCCGTCTTTTTGTTGAGAGCCCTGTGCGCATAGCCGTGCTTTGAACTTGACGACTATCCCTTCGGAATCCTTCTTCTTTCGAAACACCCAAACCGTTCCTAGGAGCGATTCATCGCCCGGCATGATTTCAATTGACCAAACTTTCAGATCTTTCATGGCGGCTAGCTCAGATTCGACAGCTTGCGTCCAGGATGCAGCTTCCGAGGAAAGCATGGCTTCGCGATGCGTCTTAGGTACGTCTGAGGCCGAGAGTGCCATAGCTAGATTAGCTCGTCGCTTGGTGTGAAGTATGTGGGATGGATCGACATTGGAGCTGATGTTCTTGGGAGCAATGTTGGATGTGAGGAGGATGTCATAGCCAGGTTTGGGTCGAGATGTCGTTGATGACGCGGTGTTGCGGGGAGGCGGGGATGGTGATGGTGGATCATCGGAGTCAGGTTCGGGTTGATCAAAGAATGAGTTAACGTCAATGAGTGGGGAGTCAAGGTCGAGTTCGTCTTCGGCTTCTCTCCACTGTAGGACATTGCGAATGGAGTCCGGATCGTTGGGTTGTTCTGGGGTGCTGTCGTTCAGAAGTTCGTTGAATTCGAGTGATGAGAGTGGGTCAAAATGGTAGGACGGGTCAGCTGGAGAGAAGATGGAGACTCCTGGGAAGTCTGTTTCAACGAATTGTACATCGTGACAGCGCTCCACCTTCCCTCCTGGTAGGAGGACGCGCCAGTTATGCGCCCCCAGCTGATAGCCGACGAGTAGTCCCTTTTTCGATGTGTCTCCAAACTTTCCTTTGCGAATGTCGGATGGGATGTTTGCGTAGGCCAGACAGCCGAAGGGTTTCAGTCGACGTACGTCAAACTGACTGTTGAACCACTTGTGATGAGGAGTGTCCCACTTGAGTTTTCTCATTGGTGTGATATTCTCAAGGAGGACTGCCGTCGAGACTGCTTCGGCCCAATATTCAGAGGGAAGTTTGGCTTGTTTAAGCATGCATCGGGCCTTCTCAGATGTGGATCGATTGCCTCTCTCAGCGACTGAGTTCTGTTGCGGTGTGTAGGGAGCAGTGACTTGCACTGTGATGCCTTTGGATTTAAGGAAGTCGAGAAACTCTTTCGAGTTGAACTCGCCCCCGCCGTCGAAGATAACGGTTTTGATGTTGGCAGAATGATGGTTGGTGACTTCATTGTAGTATTGCAAAAAGAAGGAAAATGTTTCTGATTTCTTTGAAAGTAGATACACATGACGATAGCGAGTATAATAATCGGTTATTTTAAAATAATACTCTTTTCCACCGAAGGATGGTGGACTGATTCTACCGCTGAGATCCATGTATACATATTCAAGAGGTCGAGTGGCAACAGGGAGTGAACCCGGAAATGGGAGTCGATGGGATTTTGATAGGGAGCAGGCTTCGCAGTTGATTTTTGAAGCTCGAATGTTGGGAAACATTTTCTTCAGAGCCTTGAGGTTTGGGTGTCCTGCTGATCTGTGGATTGTGTCGATGTCAGTGGCTGCTGCAATCTGGGCTGAACCGGCGGAAGACTGACCTTGAATGCCGTGAGCCAGATTGATGTTGCAGATACCCCCGAGCACCGCCGCGGATAGGATGACCGAGCCATTTCTGACCAAGTCGAAGGTTTTGGTACCAGTGCGAGCAACGTCACAACCTCGCTCGAATAAACGACCGAAGCTGATTAGAGTGCCAGCAAGGCCTGGTACGTGAAGAGCCTTGAGCTTGAGAGGAGTGCCGTCTTTGGCTAACAAGTAAACAAATCCTTCACCAACTGATTCTAGACTGTTGCCGTCGGCCAACGCGATAGGGGAAGACCGACTTCTGTAGTCGCTGAAACGAGATCGATCGCTGAACATGTGATGACTTGCTCCGCTGTCGAGAAAGCAGACGTCTGGAGATTGAACCGCTGCGAACGCTCTTCTGATACAAAGTAGTCCGCTGTTGGTGGTGCTGATGGATGAGTTGTCTTCGTTTTCTTCCTCGTCGCTAGCGAGGTTGATTACTGCCTTCTTGGCGGTAGGTTTCTTTCTTTTGACTTGTCGGCATTCGGCTGCTGAGTGTTTGGTTGCTGGGTTGTGAACTCCAGGAGAGCATACAGGCCATGGTTTGTTGGCCGCAAGAGCTGACTCTTGTTTGATTGACGGAGTCGAAGTTGAGATGATAGGAAGATGGCTTGCTGATTCAATACCCCTCCTCTCGTTGTCGAGGGCAACACGCACCATTGCAAGAGTGAATGGGCGTTGAGCGTATAAGATGGTCTTGACCTGCTTGTATTCGTCCGGTAACTTGGCGATGATGGTCTCGACGATTAGGCTTTCTTTTAGATCGGCTTTTTCTGGTTGTCCGATGACCAGTCCGACTGCCGCGAGCCTGCTGAGCTTGTTGTTGAGATCATCAATGAACGTGCTCATCGAATCTCTGTAGGGGAAGGTGGTGAAGTCCAGATAGACGGAGGATTGATTTTGTGCTGAGTTGGATTCGTAGTAGCCTTTCAGCAGATCCCAGATGAGATGGGGTTTCTTTGCGTTGTCGGTGGTGACGAAACGCTGGTGATTGGTGTCACCGATTGTTTGGTAAAGAATACCAGCCACTTGCTCTTGCTTTTCCTTGAAGTCGGCGAGGCGAGTGGCATCGGCTGGTGCAACAGTGGTGGAGTCGAGATACTTGGCAAGCCGGTGTTGCATGCAATAACCTAGGATTTTGTTCTTCCACGATGTCCAATTGATATCGGTGAGGAGCGGAAGCTTGGTTTCTGACATGTTTTTGCGTGACGATGTGGTGATGTAGCTAAGAGGAGCGCGGGCTCATAACCTAATAGACACCAAGCCTACGAGAGGGAACAACACCTAAGATAGCGAATGCGCTGTGAGTAACGCGAGCAGCGTGAGATGAGCGGACTAGG